AGCCTCAAATAGAGCCATCTCGATGCTAGACCGATAACTGTTGTTTTAAGAAAACTCGGCCAAAGGCAAGAATCGATCCCACTGCCCTCCGGAGTCAATCACACATGCTCTAAGCATATCCTCCAAGATCTAAACCGTCCACTCTGACTGCCCGCCGGTTTGCGGATGAAAGGCTGTGCTGAGCTCTACTGGGGTCCCTAACTTACTTTGTACTATCCTCTAAAAATGCGAAGTAAACTGAGGGCCTCTATCTGATATGATGGAAACAGGCACACCATGCAACCAAACAATCTCCTGAATGTAAATCTGGGCCAATCTCTCTGAAGAATACGTGGTCACAACTAGAATGAAGTGTGCCGACTTGATCAATCTGTCGACAATGACCCAAACTGTATCAAACTTACTCAAGGTCCATGGCAACCTAACTACGAAGTCCATAGTAATGTGCTCCCATTTCCACTCAGGTATAACCATCTGCTAGAGTAGGCCACCTGGCCTCTGATGCTCATACTTAACTTGCTGGCAATTTAGGGACCTCACTACATACTCAACTATGTCCTTCTTCATCCTCCGCCACCAATAATGCTGCCTCAAGTCGCGATACATTTTCGTGCCACCTGGATGAATAGAATACCGAGAGTTGTATGCCTCCTCTAGAATCTTTTCCCTCAATCCATCAACATTAAGAACACATAGACGACCCTAGAGTCGTGAAACACCATCCTCACCGATAGTAACCACCTTGGCACCACCCTGTAGTACCGTCTCTCTAAGAACCAATAAGTGCGGATCGTCGTACTGACGAGGCTTGATCTGCTCGATTAGTGAAGACTGGGCGACGACGCATGCAAGAACTTGGCTGGGATCTGAAATATCCAACCTCACAAGTCTGTTAGCTAATGATTGAATGTCCAAAGCTAATGGCCCTTCCTCTGCTGAAATGAATGCCAAACTACCCATACTCTCCGCCTTTCTGTTCATGCATCCACAACCACATTCGCCTTGCCCTCTGCTTGAACAAATGATGCAAGCTGCGATGATCGGTGTAAACCTCACAGGACACCCCATAAAGATAATGCCTCCAGATCTTGAGAGCACGAACTATCGCGACCAACTCCAAATTGTGCACTGGGTAATTCTTCTCCTGGGGCTTCAGCTGACGTGAAGCATATGCAATTAGTAGACCCTCTTGCATCACTACACAACCCAGGCCAACACGTGAAGTGTCGCAATACACAGTATACATCCCTGAACCGGAAGGCAACACTAACACCGATGCCAAAGTTAAGGCGGTCTTGAGCTTCTGAAAGCTCGCCTCGCAATCGTCGCACCATCAGAACAGAGCACCCATCTGGGTCAATCTAGTAAAAGGTGCTGCAATAGATGAGAAGCCCTCCACAAACTGGTGATAATAACCTGCTAACCCCAAGAAGCTCCTAATCTCGATCGTTGTGGTAGGACGAGGCCAACTCTGAACTGCCTCAATCTTCCTGGGATCTACCTTAATACCCTCGCCTAATACAACATGCCCCAAGAATGCCACAGAATCTAACCAGAGCTCACACTTGGAGAACTTAACATATAGCTTTTGTTCCCTCAAGGTCTGAAGCACCACTCTCAAATGCTTCTCGTGCTCCTCTATGCTACGCGAATAGATCAAAATGTCATCAATGAAGAGAATGGCCTGAACACCCGGTTCATCAAATCCATAAACACCGCCGTGTTGTTAGTCAAGCTGAAGGACATCACTAGAAACTCATCATGACCATATCTAGTCCGAAAAGTCGTCTTCGAAACATCTGAATCACGAATCTTCAACTGATGATACCCGATCTCAAGTCGATCTTAGAGAACATCCTGGCACCCTACAACTAGTCAAACAAATCATCAATACGCGAAAACGGGTACTTGTTCTTAATGGTAACTTTGTTCAATTGGTGGTAATCAATGCACATCCGCATAGTCCCATCTTTCTTCTTCACGAACAACACTAGTACACCCCAAGGTGACACACTCGGTTTGACGAACCCCTTTGATAGCAACTCCTCAAGCTGTTCTTTCAACTCCTTCAACTCTTTTGGAGCCATGCGGTACGGTGGAATAGAGATAGGCTGGTTACCCGGAGCCAAATCAATACATAAATCGATATCACGATCTGGTGGCATGCCTGGAATATCATAAGGAAACACTTCGGACAACTCCCGGACCATAGGCACTAAATCAATCGTCGGAGTCTCTGTAGTAGTATCCCAAACATAAGCTAGATAAGCCAAACAACCCTTCTTAACCATGTGTCGAGCCTTCAGAAAAGAGATAACCCGACTAGATGCACAGACAGATGAACCCTTCCACTCCAACCTAGGCAACTCTGGCATCAGCAAGGTAACAGTCTTGGCATGGCAATCAAGAATGGAGAGATATGGAGACAACCAGTCCATGCCCAGGATGACCTCAAAGTCGGTCATGTCGAGCAATAGAAAATTCGCTCTAGTCTCATAACCACAGAAAGTCACGATACAGGACCGATAGATCCGATCCACGACAATCGAATTGCCTTCTAGGGTGGACACATAAATAAGAGTACCCAAGAACTCACGAGGAACACCTAGAAAATGAGAAAACAGAGATGAAACATATGAATACGTAGACCCTGGATCAAATAGTACCGAAGCATCCCTATCGCAGACAGAAATAATACCTGTGATCATGGCATCTGAGGCCATTGCATCCGGTCTGGCTGGAAAGGCATAGAACCTGGTTGGAGCACCACCTGACTGGCGTCCACCTCTAGGACGACCCCTACCCACCTGCCCTCCGCCTCTGGGCATCGAACGGTTGGTATGGCAGCTGGTACAGAAATTATAGGCTGCTGACCCTGCTGTACTGCCTTGCCCCGAAGCCTCGGGGCAAAACCTCCTCACATGACTAAGATCCCAGCACTCGAAATAACCTCTCGGTACAGTGGACTACTGACATGAAGTCTGGCCCTGATGGCCTAAAGGTTGAGTGAATATTTGAAATTTGAACATCGATTCAGAGCCGTTGAGTGAAACTAGTATGGTTGGACTCTTCGAATGAATTGTCGGAATTTATGAGTTTTGTCGGGTTCCGGGTTGCGGGCCCATATTGAACTTTTGGTTGACTTTGAGTATTTGATTAAAGATTTGATCTTTATCGTTTGAGTTTGTTTCTTATAGCATTATTTGATGTTTCTGAGTTGCTTTTGGCTAGTTTCGAGCCGTTCAGAGGTCGAATCGTGGGATGACGCTTCTAGAGTCTCGATTTGGCTTGCTTGAGGTAAGTATCTTACCTAAACTCAGTTGAGGCACTAGTTTTCTGAGTTATTTGTGATAGCTATGTGTTATGGGTGTCGCATATGTGTGGGATTGAGACGTTGTGCGTGCACCAGGGTATTTTTCATGCTCAGGGTAGTGTTTAGGCTATGATATGCCTTGGATTTATTGCTAAGCTTCATGTTGTGATGGTTCTTATATTTTTACCTTTGTTGTGAGTTATTTGAGCCATGTTTGAGATTACATAGAAGTTTATCTCATGATTGAACCTGATAATTGCCACTTTCGTGATGTATTTGCCTGATTTGAGCTATGATAGCACACTTTGCACATGCATATACCTTAGCATGTCACTTATACTAGTCCAGAAGTGTGAAATTTGATGTTCATTGGTCATGTTCATGTATTCTTGTATATCTGTTTTTCTATGTGATATAGATTGGATTGGTAGCATGTGACCACGCCGAGCGGATTGTGATATTGAGCCTGTGACCCACCGGGCGAATTGTGATATTGAGCTTGTGACCACGCGCGGGCGAATTATGATATTGAGCTTGTGATCACGCTAGACGGATTATGATATTGAGTTTGTGACCAAGCCGGCGAATTGTGATTATTCGCACGTAACCACGCCGTGCGGGTCTGAGATATTGATGTATATAGCACGTGACCACGTCGTGCAGTTATGATGCACATGAGTTGTCCGTGCAGCGTTTGGATATGGATCCATCCCCCTCGGGTCACCCTCTCATGTGCCTTCTTGATGGTGTACACGTAGATTGTGAGAAACCGACGGGTTTCTGGTTGATGTGGACTTTGGAAAAAGCTGATCAGTGGTTCGGTTCGGTTATGGTATCTTTTAGGAAAGACGGGACAATGTTTGTTTTGGTTATTGCATTTCATCTTTACTTGCAATTTCCTTGGTTGTTTACCTAGTTTATTTGCATATCTTCTTTATATGTTGAATTGTTGACTGAGCAGAGTACGCTAAGTTATTGTGCGCACCAAGGTGGTTTTATCGGTGATTCGTGACTTGATCATATTATTATTCTGTACTTGTTGAAGTTATTAACTGTACAGGTGATTAGCGAGTATCATTTATAATTCTTGCTTCTATTAGCTCGCCGAGGTTAGTTATGATACTTGCTGAGTACATGGGGTCGGTTGTACTCATACTACACTTCTACACCTTGCGTACAGATCTTGGAGCTGAGTTGCTGTGGATGGCGGAAGTTGGCACTGAAGATGTACCTGCTTTCTGGATATAGCTACTATTTGTCCTTGATAATTTTAGATTCGAATTCTATTTATGTACATTCCAAACAGATATTGTATTTATTTTGATACCGGTTTTGTAAATCTAAGTCTTAGTGACTCATGACTTGTACTATCTATCATTGAGTTATTGTATGGAATTCAGTTATTTCACTTATTGATTTCTTATTATTTTCATTTGAATTATGTTGACTGTTATTTGACTTACCTAGCGGGTTGGATAAGGTGTCATTGCGACTAAGTGGATTTTGGACGGTGACAATTTTATCTTTCATGCCATTATTGTACTGCTATATGAATTTGAACAAAAATACTACTACTAGTACTTGACCAGTTGATAGTGTGTCATTTTCTTTTCTTTTTCATGGCACTTTGTGAGGGTCATATTGATTTCCATAAGTCTCAGAATTTATATATAAATGTCAAGGTTAAGGAATACTCCATGTGTTACTTTGTTAGGTCTGAAGCAAATTGTTGATTTCTTTAGTGGAGGAAAAAAAGGTGAATTTATTCACTAATAATCTTGTTGGTCATTTATTTATGCAAAGTTTTTATTTGGAATTTGGACTTTGAAAATGATTCTATTCTTCTTCATTGTGAAGATTTCGTGACATCAGTCTGCCACTCCTATCCGGTATATATCCCTCAAGTTGAAACCTAACGCCTTACTGGTGCATTTCCCTGTTCACTTTTATTCATTATTTTTTATTTAAATAAAAAACATAGCCATTTCAGCAAAGTTAGAGGGCAATGCATTTTTCTTCTTCAAGATTCTTTGAGAAAGAGAAAAAAAGAAGAAAATGCTCTCACATTGTTCCCTCTGTTCATAATGCGCAGTTCTCTCGCCATTTGAGTCAGTTGAATGTTTAGTGCTTGCTATTTGGCCCTAATAGCTATTTCCCAAACTGCTTCAATTCTTTATTATCTGCTGTTTTATTAGCAGTCATAATCTCTTTTCTCAGCTCCTTTTTCCTGTGCTTAAATTCCAGTATACCAATTCCTGTGTTCTTCTAATTAATTTCCTATAAAGCTTTGAACTTTTTTCCATGGGGAAGACAAAGTTTATCTACTATACAGGTTTCAAAGTGGGGTTTTTGTGGGTGCAACTGAGGTGTGTAGAGTGCCAAAGAAGGATGATAATCTCCACAGCCCCACCTCAGTCTCAAAGGGTTTTTCTGAGTGTTCTGTTTGGGATGTTAACTGGATTGATTTGTGCACTCCTCTTTGCTTGGCTTGTTCGGAGCTTTATTCGTTACATGAACAAACCCCCAATTCTCAAAGGCCCTGTTGTATTCTCTCCTAAAATTCCAGCCAAGACTCTGCAATCAGCTCTAATTGCTAATGACACCCAGTTGCTTGGGTCCAGTAGATACTATAGGACTGTTCTTGACAATGGCCTTACTGTTGCAGTCAAGAGGCTGGAACCCTTTCAGTTACAGAGCAAGTCTTTGAAGAGAAGAATACAGCAGGAAGTTGAAGTGATTGCTAGTTTGAGGCATAGAAACTTGATGAGTTTAAGGGCTTACATCCGGGAATCGAATAGGTTTTTTTTAGTGTATGATTATGTGCCTAATGGGAGTCTTGAAGATGCAATGAACAAAGTTAGGGAAAACCAGCTGCAGCTTAGCTGGGAAGTAAGACTCCGAATTGCTGTTGGGATTGTCAAGGGTCTTCAGTATCTTCACTTTTCTTGTAACCCCAGAATCCTGCATCGCAATCTCAAGCCCACAAACGTAATGTTGGATGCTGAGTTTGAGCCTAGGTTAGCAGATTGCGGTTTGGCCAAAATTGCCAATCTCCCACTTGCACCATCAAGCTATGCTCCTCCTGAGAGCTGCAGGTTAGTTAGCTTAATTCGAGTATGAATCGGTATCTGTATTTGTTGTTTTTACAATCTTGATCTGCCTGTATAATTTGAACCATTTAATTAGGACGATGTGTTTGATGAACACAATTTGGGAAACTAATTTTGCACTTTTTAATACTAGCTTATTTTTCCCCTTACTTGACTTGTTCTATTTTTGAAGAGAATCTTCCTAGTTCTAGTTCTCTATCACTTGATTAAACTTGACAGTGTAGGGTGGCTTCAATTCTGTTTTGATTTTAGAACTAAGTGTCTAATTCTCTTGTGTTTGTGTTTCACATTAGGTATACTGATAAGAGTGATGTATTCAGCTTTGGGGTGATATTGGGTGTTCTATTAACTGGAAAGTACCCAACGGATCCCTTCTTGGGGAATACAAGTTTAGGGCGGTGGCTTCAGCGTTTGCAGGAAGCAGGCGATTCTCGAGAAGCATTAGATAAGAGTATTCTCGGAGAAGAGATTGAGGAAGATGAGATGCTAATGGCCGTGAAAATAGCAGTGGTATGCTTATCAGACATGCCTGCTCATCGCCCTTCCAGTGATGAGCTCGTTTCCATGCTCACCCAATTAAATAGCTTTTGATTAATTATTAATCAACCTGTTGCTGTTGCTATTTTTATTTTTTTGAAAGGGGTGTGTAGTTGGCTAATTCCTGCAACTATTTTTTTACTCAGCTCAAACTTAAGAAAGCACTTGAAATTATCAGTAATTGATTGACCTTGTTGTATGTAGATTGAGTAATCTTGTTAATCAAGTGCTGTTAGGAAGAGAATATGTAACAAATACTATGGAGTATAATAGTTTGTGTACGTTGGAGACATTTGCATTGATATTCTTTTAACCTTTTCTTATGATGGGTGTTTTTGTGGGGTTGCTCTGCTTGTCCTTTTGCAAGACAGCTTTTGTTTAGCAATCACGACTTCATCGGGGCTTGGAAAAGCAAGTCTATTTGTGATATTTCAACGTAACATAGCTCAAAACTTTTATCTCCTTTACAATTGTGGTGGTCCGAGACTTGCCACAAAGGACCAATCTGAATTACAAGTACAACTGTTTAGGTGTTTTGAGATGGTAAGTCACAACAACTCAAGAAAGAAATATAGTGCCCTTGAAACAAAACTTTACTTATTCAACCACTGGTAAAATTTTTGGTTGACTTTCACTAATTTCAACCACTCTTGCATGGCATACATCAATCCTACGAATTTGGCTCCGCTTATTCAGTGTACATTTAAATAACTGCTAGTCCTAATAATTTTTCGTATTTGAACATTCAAAAACCTTCGACCCTCCTGAATGATCCCATCTTATGAAAGTGAGACAGACCTCTTGTCACGCGGATTTTTTGTCCACATAGCAATTTAGAACTATAATTTTTCTAAAACCTATCAATTTCATTGATTATTTTTTCGGTCAAATCTATAATAAAAAATATGGTCTGAAATTCATAATTTGGCTAAAACTATTTTTATTTGGATAAAATGGAGTTACAACTAAGCTTTAATTACATATTTGACTCGAAGAAGAAATATACTGTTAGAACAAATAATCATTGAATCTAAATAAGAAATAAAAGGAAATATGCAGTTGAAACTGCAGATTTTAGCGAAATTGCTTTATTGGGCTAAATATAATAGAGTTTAAGCCAAGTTGTTTTCAAATATGTCCCGAAAAAGAAAAATGCACGATTAGAACATATAGTCATTGTATCTACAGAAAAAATAAAATAATTCACAGTAATAACTCCATTATTTTGGCTAAGACTCATTTATCTGGCTAAAAATAATAGTATAGTTTTAGCCAAGTATTCCACATATTTGATTAATATACAGTTGGAACAAGTAGCCATTGCATCTAAAGAAAAAATATACAAGAATTGGACTAAAATATGCAATGTATATCAAGAAGAAACAATAAGTAAAATATGTCTGGAACAAACAAACTACTACATATGACCTATTACGCATCGCCTTCCTGAGATTCCTTGGAAGGGTGACGTAAGGCTAAGCAACCGATATCCATATAGTTACTATCCGTCAACTGGGGTCCCCTCCGTACGATAGGCGAGACTGTCAGTGCCGTACGTGAAAACCAATGTCAAGAGCAATTGAGAGAACAGAAAAGAGACTGAGAATGAAAGAAAGTTTTGATTGCATTAATGAAAGCTATTACAGAAAAGCAACACGGTATCGAGTAGGAGAGAGACCAGTAAAGAGAATTGTTTGCTTGCTTGATCCCCCCTAATAATGATTAAAAAAATAAATCAAAATTATAAGACTTGACCTAACTAAGCTAGAGAGACATAATGAAAATATAGGAAGTAAAACTACTCTATATTTACAATGAAAAGGAATTAGATTCCTATAAGGTAGAAGCAGGTCCGTTGGCAGTAACCTTGTCTTTAGCATCAGAGTCTGCGCGCGGCGCTGTTGGCATATGCCTGCAGCTGGGCGCTGGCGAGGGCTATCGGTGGGGCGACATAGGCACAGGCGCGCTTTTCACTTAGCGCGACCAAGATCACGGGGCCGTCATAGCGCTGGGCGTTGGGAGGTTTGCCAGGACGCAATGGGGCGCGTCCAAGGGGTCATGGTGCATGGCTGGAAAGCCGCCCATGCCATTCTCCCCTACCTGAGTTGGCGATATCCTCGGTGCCTTACTTGCAAGATAATCATCGATCAGGATCTTGTAGGCTTTGAGGTTTGTTCCCCTCTCCCAGGTATTCTCCTCTGCATCACAGCCCTGCCATTTTACCAAGAACTCTTGGTGATCTTTTCTTGAAGCATGAACCACTCGATCATCGAGGATAGCTTTTACACGCCTTTTTCCGGTTGAATTAGGGCCTCGAATACTGGGTATTATGAGTTGGCTCCGCGAAGGATCCTCCATGTCTTCCCGAAAAGGTTTCAGAAAGCTGACATGGAAGACTGGATGAATCTTCCACCAGGCTGGGGTACCCACACGGTATGCAACTTTCCCAATGTGCTTCTCAATGGACAAGGGTCCAATGTACTTTTGCAATAGGCGAGGGTCATGGACCCCTGCAAACAATATCGCTTCAGGATTTTTACCATCACTTTTTCTCTTACTTGGTATTCAACAAAGCAACGATTTTGATCAGCATGCCTTTTCATCTGCTTTTGGGCTTTGACAAGATAACTCTGCACTATCTCCATATTTTGCTTCTATTCTTTTGAGAAGCTAGCAGCTCGAGGAGATTTCGACATGTTTGGGGCATTCACAGTGTGTGGGAGTAGCACTTGATGTCCGGTAATAATTTAAAAAGCGCTTTTGTTTGTATTAGAGCTCTTTTGTGAATTGAAACACAATTGAGCAGCATCCAGAAGCTTCACCCAAGTTTTCTATGATCCGGTAACAAAATGGCGAAGATATTCTTCAGCATGCCATTTAACCGCTCCGTCTGGCCATCAGATTGCGGATGAGAACTTGAATTGTTGCTCAATTTATACCCGAGACACATAAAGAGTTGAGTCCAAAACTTGCTCGTAAAGCGAGAGTCGCGATCACTAATGATGTCTTTAGGTAGACCCCAATATTTGACAATATGAGAGAAGAAGAGTTGAGTTGTATCTTCCGCTGATATATATTTTGGGGATGCTATAAATGTAGCATACTTGGAAAACCGATATACCACAATCAAGATAGTTGTAAGATCTCCGACCTTGGGCAATCCGGTGATAAAATCCGGTGAAACGCTTTCCCAAGGTCTCTTTGGAACATGGAATGGCTCCAAAAGTCCCGCTTGTGTCAAGCGGTCTGACTTGTCTTTCTGACATACTAGGCAAGTCTTCACATACTGTGCTACATTATCAGCCATTTGAGACCAATGATAAGCACCGCGTAACAATGCCATGGTGCGTTCTTCACCGGGGTGGCCGGCCCACAAAGTATCATGACTTTCCGTCAGAAGAGTCCTTCGCAGATCGCCTCTTTGAGGAACATAAAGTTGGCTCCCTTTCACCTTTAGGAACATATCTTCCACGTAGAACTGGCGAGTCTTGCCTTGTCCTACCAAATCGACCAAATATTGTACAGCAGGATCCTTGGTGAGTAGATCATGTATCTAGTCTTTTATAGTGGTGACCACTTCGCTCCCCCTTAGGGTGGCGAGTAGGCACACCGATGCTAAGTCAGCCCTCCGACTGAGCGCATCAGCAACTTAGTTAGTCTTCCCACTTCGGTACTCCAGGTTGAAGTGAAATTTCGCTAGCAGTTCCTTCCACCTGGCCTATCGGCCATTTAGCTTTGGCTGGGTCATGACACGGCTAACAACTATGTTGTCTGTCTTGATCACAAATGGGGTTCCCAGCAGATAGTGCCTCCAAAGACGTAAGCAATGGATGACCGCCAATAAAACTTTTTCACGGGCGGCATAACGCCGTTCTGCATCCTTCAACTTTCGGCTCTCGTACGCCACTGGATGCCCCTCTTGTAGCAAGGTTATGCCCAGAGCATAGTCAGAGGCATCCGTTTGTACTTCGAACGG